CGACGGATCAACGACGGAAAGCACTTTCAGCGACGGATCAGCGAGGGAATTTTCCCTCGCTGATACCCAGCATTTTTGTAGTGGTCTTGAAAAGATTTGATATTTTGAAATTAAATAAATTATAATGAACATTTTATATCTCGCCGTATTGCGCAGGTACACAACTAGCGTATATATTATACATAATTTTCATTTCTACTTTTATCTTGTTATTATTATTATTATTATTATTATTATTATATGCATTAATATTAAAAATTTATCCTAGTTATTTAAATATTTTTTAAAATGTCAATTTAAAAGTGATTTTTTATGAACATAATATAAATATAAGTTTCGTTTAAATTTAAATTGTTTCAGTAATTGTAATATTATATTCGAGATCATGCGAAAAATATATTGACTTTAAAAATGTAATTATTTTTACAGTAAGTAGTATTTCAAATTTCCTAGGTTGTTTTAATATTATCAAAATGATATAATTTAAAAAAGTTGTGAATACTTAATTATTTAATAATAATCATTATTATTTTATTGCTTTGACTAAATGGTTTTTTATAAATACTTAACTGTTTACAGTTTTTTTATATTGATGCTTGATTATTATTTTGTACATACAAGACAACAACAAAAAATGATTATCTATGAGTCATGGATGCCTTCATTCCATACACGTACACATCATCATCTTCTTCACATTTTCATCTCTTATCTCTTTAATTAAACATTTATTTTTAATAAAAAAATAAGAAAAAAACGTTTTTATGTTTTATTTGGTTTGGTTTTTATGTTGTACTCGATAATGACATAATAAATAATAAGATTACAACTGAGAATTACAAATGAAGTGCGTACAAATTACAAAGCCACTAAACTATTTACACTAAGCAAATTACAAAATATTGAACCCAACATTCTTCTCATTTGGATTCAAGCTTTGGAAATAGTAAATTTTGAACGTCTGAATCCAAGATGTGTTTCAAATCTTCTAACAGCATTCCGATAAGCAATCTTCTCATCAAATCACTCCAATG